GCACACTTACTTGATTTTCAGCAGGCTGAGGGTCTTGTTCTGTGACAGAATCTCTCCAGTCTTGTTCCGGTTCAGGTAGATAGAGAAACCATTTGAACTGAACCCAAACTCTTTGGCAACCTGGCAAGAAGGCAGCAAAGAATGTCAGAAACAAGAAGCTGACAAGTCTTTCATTTTGTTCCTAGAAATGATGGATCTACCATTACTGCTGCAATTGGACATTCCTTGTCCATTTGTCTTATCCCTGTCTTGGAGCCTCCACTAATAAGCTGATAAAATGTGGACGTGTTAAATAATACAGACATTTAAATGTTTAGCGGCAATCCTGATTGTTTGCCTTTCAGAGATTGTGCAGGTGAGTGATGACTGCAGGACCGCGAGCCTCTAAAGCCATGCTGTTAAAATTCAATAAACTCTAATGAAGTTATGAGAGTAGAGTGCATGAGAGAAAGAGGAAAAGAAAGTATCTGAGATTATGATGCAAAGAAAAAAGATTTTACTCCTCATTTTCAAACACTTTATACATACAGACATATATAATGCAAAAATCTATTAACCAATTAATAAGCTACTGTATCTGAAACTGAAAAACGAGTGGAATGCATAAGTTGTGGTCAGATTCTCTGCATGGAAAGGCAAAAATCTTTTGTACTCACCAAGGCTGCATTTATTTAAACAAAAATACAGTAAAAACAGCAATATTGTGAAATATTATAATTTAAGCAACTGTTTTCTATTTTAATATTGTTTAAAGCGTACTTTATTTCTGTGATGGCAAAGCTGAATTTTCAGAAGCCATTACTCCATTCTTCAGTGTCACATGAACCGTAAGAAATTATTAAAATATGCTGATTTGATGCGCAAGGAACAAACATTTGTACAGCTAAATATTTTTGTGGAAACTGTGATACATTTTTTTCAGAAATCTTTGATGAAAAGAAAGTTAAATTTAATGCATTCTCGCTGAACGTGTTAATTTCCTTCTACAAAAAAACTAAAATGCTGACAAAAACTTTTAAATGGTAGTACAGGTACTACCATTTAAACATATGTAGTTTACTTGCTATTAAGTGCCTCAAACAAAACACTGAGTATCTTTCAAAGATGTGATGATCCCATTAACGTAGCGAATCCAGTTCTTAAATTCTTCATCTAAAGAATCCTCTCACTTATAACCAGTGTTGGGGAGTAACTAGTTACATGTAACGGCGTTACGTAATTCACTAAACATATTCTCAAGAACTCTAGAATCTCTAGAGTCACTTCATGAGCATTTTACTTATTTTGAGAAAACCAACACTGCTTATAACTCATTTTGTAGGACACTTTTCCAAAGCGAACTCATTCATAGATCGATGGCCTGTTCCGAATCCAAACTAGATAAAATCCACTATCAGGTGGTTCTGGTAACAACATAATTGAAAAAGTGCAGTCTCAGAAACAAACTGATCCATCGCGTTCAAATGACTGTCCATTAGGCAACAGAAAACCCAGCAGAAGACCAATATCTTTATTAATCCAATCAGCAAAAGCTTTAACTGCTCACTCAGGGCACTATGTCCTAAACTTAACTTTTAACTGTAACATACCTTTAAAAAAATGGATGCCTTTTAAAAAATGCAGTGTGCATTTCTTTTAATCCATACACCAGAACACAAGATGAACAAGCACATATTTTTCAAAGCTAGACCCCTCGACCTCTCTCTGTCTCTTTCCTGCCATTTAATCCCAAAATCAAATGGTGAGACGGTCTCAGTTGATCGCCGGCTCACTCTCCACCCTCCTGCTGTGAGACATGAATCTTTAATGGGCCCTGCAGTGTCTACATCAGGCACACACAAACCCTCTGCCCGTCTCAAAAGAGCCTGCAGCACCTTTAACTATCAGCATCCAAAATTCTCTCTGACTTCTATTATAACACAATTTACCCTATCAAGTTACATAATAATCAAAGATTGACATGAGGTAACTACTTTTTTTTCTGGACTTATTATCTTATTATGGACTATTTCTCTACTAAACATAACTAGTCAGACCTAGAAATAGAATTTTATGAAATGTATCAATTGTTAGATAACAAATAAAAAAACTGAAATAAACTATAAGGGCCCGACCTTTTATTTTTGAGTTTTGGTCACTTTCAATGGCATTTTGGCCGCAAGCCCTTGTTCATTTCTGCCTCTGCTGCAAGCACACCGATCAAGCTTTGCACCACAGCAGAAATGCATGTCACTGCGGACCACATCTGTGTGAGACTGCGGCGTATGGACATAGGTCTCCTTTTTCAGAGCCGTCTCATTAATATAATTAATAATAAATCAACATTTAGCAGTCAGCAGGAAAAGGAAAAGTCTGTGCCACCACTATTTAATGACTCTGTCATAACTATAGTGAAGGGTGAGCTAATGAATTTGACAGTATATCTAATATACGTTCTATGAGTTACATGATTTTGCTGCCGATAAAAAAAAAAAAAAACTTCTTGCACATAGGCTGTATGATAAATGCTATATTCCATTTCTGGAGCAAATACATATTAAATGCTACTGTTTAAAAGTTTGGGGTCAGTACGATTTTTAAAATGTTTTTGAAAGCATTCTTTTATGTTCACCGAAGGCTGAATGTCTTTACGGCAACTTTTGAAAAATTAAATGCCTCCTCACTGAATAAAAATTTATTTCTTTATAAAATAATAATAATAATAATAATAATAAAAAAAACTTACTGACCCCAATAGTGTTTATATTCGGGTAAAAACTGTGATATTCTGAAATATAATTATAATTCTAAATAACAAATAAAATAATAATAAAATTCATATTTTAAAAATGTAATTTATTCACGATCCTTCAGCAATCACTCTAGTATACCGATTTGGTATTCAAGAAATATTTTTTTTATTATTATCAATAGTTGAAAACAGTTGTGCTGGTTAATAATCTTTTGGTTTTTCAGGATTCTTTTAAAAAGTACAGAATTTATTTAAAATAGAATTTGTTTGTAACATTATAAATGTCTTTACGGCAACTTTTGACAAATGAAATGCCTCCTCACTGAATAAAAATTTATTTCTTTATAAAATAATAATAATAATAATAATAATAATAATAAAAAAAACTTACTGACCCCAAACTTCTGAGTTATTATTATTATTATTATTTTTTGTGTGTGTGTGTGTTATATGGCAGCCTAGACCTACTGTCATTAAGAGATTTTAAAGAGATAATTGTACAATTTGTATCTGTCAATTAATCAAATATATGAGCAAAAATAAATAATAATAATAATAATAATAATAGCAAAGAGTGGCGTCTAGTGCAAATTTATTTTTTATTCCTTATACCTTCTTGAGGAAAGCTGCAGCCGTCTCTCGCTTTGTTGAGGCGATTTTTTTCATTCCCTCTGGAGACTGAACACGGATGATCTGGCAATGAATAAACATTAAGGGAAAGGAAAGGAAGTTTATGGTTACTACAAAAGGTATGTTTGTTGTTCAATCATATGCTTGTTTCTCACACAGATCTAGCACAGAATTACTCATACAGAAAAGTTACAAGTTAAAACGAGATGAGAGCAAAACTACTAATCAGCCCAAAACAAGCCAGAATGAATAAGAGAAAACAGGTGGCTGGAGGGCAAACCACTGACATCTGACACTCAATAAACTGCCGCAGAGGACTATGCATGTCCACAAATCTCACTGAATGACATATTATAATAACATAGAGCTAAACTCATGCTCTCGCTTCTTTTTCTTAATACAAAAACCAAAACAAAACAGCATGTGCCATTCAAAGCACTTTAATAAATTACTCAATGTCAATTCACTTCACAGATACAAAACTATAAGAAGCACGAAAGCTAAACAAAAATAGAATTACCTTCTATTTTAATATCTCTACCTATTTATTCAGGTGAAATTCAGCATCTAGACTTTAATAAGCAGTTGACAAGAACTTGCACTGACACATCTTGTCTTCATCAACCTGTGCCAAGCTAAATAAAGTGAACACAGCAGAAATAATAAACCTCAGCTGTAAATCATAAGTTAATGTGTCAGATGAGTGGTAAGCACACACATAAATGCTGTTTTTAGTATTTAATGTGTTTCTGGACGATTCTGGCTGAGTCTGATCATTAGCATCATGCTAACAATTCTGCTGCCTCATCACTGGATGACAGACTTCACTCAAACTGCCTACATACACACGCAGACAGACACTTACTATGTTTTCCGCCATGTTGATGAGATGAACCGTCCCTCGTGATGTCGCTGAAATGAGAGTTGACCTATTTTAATATCGCTGTTTATATGATCTGCTCGGATCTAGGCAGCGATGCCAAACTCATAGAGCCGGTGCTACATCTAAATGAGTCCGGGCTATGACGGGATCCTGCTTAACGTCACCGGATAGAAACAAAAAGATAAATGTTGTGTTTCTGTATATTTTCGTTTATTTTTAGGGATTGTATGTATTATTGTTTTTGTTGCTGTAGATTCTTCCATTCAGAGATTATCCACATGCATTGTATAGAATACACATATTTCCTTCTGTGACATTTTATGACGTATTATTTATACTATAATAAAGTTTATATATTTTGCTTATTTAATGTATGCTTTGAATAGACACACTGTTTTGCATCCAATACTAAAGTAGAAATCAAACCACTCTCTGAACAAATAAAATGACTCATATAATTTGTTTAAGTCTATATTTTATATAAGTTTACATTTTATTCAACAGGTGGGAGTTGATTCTTTAAATAGCTAATGCATTACATTTGAAAAAAGTAAATCAATAAATTTAAAAATATTTCATCCGTAGTCTTATATTGAAACAATCAGTAATATTATTAAAAACAATGTTTCGGCTCTGCTTTTTTCATTTCTCAACTTACACGAGGCATGAAAAACAAGCAAATAATTTTTTCTCTTTTTTTCAAGCTTTATTTTGATCTCATCCTGTAGAGAGAAATCTTCACTTTACACACTGATGTTGTCAACCCCCAAACATGCCCTCAAAACGGATGCATGTTCAGTCTGAAACACTATCTGCAAAATACAGGCCTAAACAACTCAGAACTTGAGGATTCAGAAGGACACACAATCCTAACACATATAAAGGATCTGTGCAAAAAGTAACATATGTTAATGCTTGTGCAAACCACATCTTTTCATAGAATTTACTTTGGATATATAATTTTATATGTGGATACATGAGGATCTGACTGTGCAGGAAATGGGCTTCTTTTTTTTTTTTTACAAAATGAAAAACCTAGAATGTGACTAAACTAATGGATGAACAAATTAATGAATGAACATATAACACAATAGTGAAAGATAGAGCATGCAACAAACATAAACATAGGGAAATAAACACATACTTGACACAATGCCAATAAAGCGAAAGAAAATTAGAAGAATTATTGGGTAGAAAATCATAAATGCATGAAAGATACAGGACGTTTAAATGAATAGATTAAATGATAATGAATAATATTATACAATGAAATATACAAATGGAAAGTAATGAATACATTAGATAGAAATGATACTAAAATGGGACACAATGATGGATGTGATGATGAGGATGACAGATGATGGCGATGAAAAACGAAATAACTACACAAAATGATCACGGATGAAAGAAACACATGACAGCCCGACACTGTTCCCTAACAGTCGTCCGAGAGACTTACTGAAACCGAGAATTATAGCCAAAAATGAAATCGTGCTTGTATGGGTGCTAATATGGATGCACTGAATGACGGGGTTGCAAAGCACAAAGTAAATATGATATTAAAAAATGAATGGTTCCTGAGGGTATCCTTACACAGAATACTCAGAAATTAAAAAAAGGGAGTGAAAAGGTTGAAACTTTAAAATCGAAACTTGAAAATTTATGACCCACTTGGGTAGCCTGATGGGGAAATAGTGTGATGAAGTAAAGTTTTGTAAATCTAATGTCGGCCAGCAGGGTGTTTCATCTCTACTACAGGACTTTGATCTTTTCTTATGAACTCGGCGCAGGTGGACAGAGGAGGCACCGAGGCACGTGAAATGAGAAGCCAGGCATTTCACGGGCACGTGTCATGCTTTTACTCACTCAGAGGCTATCTTGCTTCTGTATGTTTCGTGTTCCAGAAGAAAACAGGGAGGGAGAGTAGAAAAAGAAGACGAGAGGAAAGAAAAGGAGCAGCAGTTTTTCTAAGTAAACAGAATGCAATCTGACTGGATCTTTTCTGTTCTATTGTTTGAGCAGAAAGTGTTCTTGGACTGCAAGAAAGAAAAGAAACCAGAGGGATGGATAGTCAGATAGATTTTTTGTTGTTGTTGTTGTTTAGTTTTCCCATTTTTATAAATGTTGCTGTTTTGTGTGTTTATTCTGTTATAAAAGTTGGAATGGTCCACTTGGAGACGATGGCCAGGATGGAGGCAGGTGGTTTGGAGAACATGACTGGAAGGGGTCTTCACTGCACAGAGGATGACGGGAAGGTAACGGGCTCAGATGATACCATACTGAGCCAGCTCGTGAAGCTCCAGATGGTTGAAGGCCTCCCAGGGGCAGATGACAGTGATGTCTGCAGGTAGAAACACAGGAACGTGAGTTCATCTATCATTCAAAGAGTTAACTTAAGCAGATTGATGGCCAGCTAGCATTCAGGTCTGTTTAATCACAGTAATGTCATAAGATATCATATAGGATCATTGATGATGCTCAGTATGAGAGGCTTGTCTGACATACATGCACTGTCTGATCAGACTAATCATTTCAGACAAGGACAGCTTAGAATAGATGGTAGGTGATGTTGTCATGATGGCAAAACACGTGAGGAGAAATGCAGATTATACTTACCAGTGCCTAAACCTTCCATGCCAGGGATGTCATCTCCGAAACTATTATATATAAATAAATAAAATAAATGCAATAAAAAAAGAATGAGATAATAAAATAAAATTAGAAAGAATTAGACACATTTGGTTAAATTAAATTAGATCATTTTAAAATACATTATATTTTTAGAACAGTCATGTTGTCATGTTGCACAGTTTTAATTATTCTTAGTATAATAAAGCATGACTGAAGTGTGGAATATCACAAAGCCATTATTATAAAGATTTTACTTTACTGTCTAACTTACCCTTGGATACCCTTCTTTGGTGGCTTGCTCTTGAACTGGCGAGTCTGCCTCTGCTTGAACTTGGGCGGTCCTTTGCGTGGTGTGGCAGGACCACCGGTGACACGGGTGGCTGATTTGATCTCTGGTTTGGGTGGCTCAAGATTCATGGCTGTTTGTCACTGTTGGTCATTTTTCTTTGTATTCGCTACCCGTGATGTAGTGCTGATGTAAATGCATCAGAAAGACTGGAGTGAGTTTATAGTTCACACCCAATGAAATATAGATTTGTTTTGTAAAATGGATTTTGGCTTCATTCTGGGAAAAAAATGTAGGACTTTGTGACACATACAAACAAATTAAAACACATAGATTTTTAAATTACACATTAGGCCAGGAAGGTTACAGTAATTGCAAGGTCAAACTGACACCTAATGAATATCTATGGCAGCAACCCCAGACTGAGAAAACTATACCCATAATCCTCTTACTGATGAGTAATACACAAATCCAAATACATATTCCACTCTAACTGAATGTCTAGCATGGCCGTGCTCCTAGAAATTAGCTCAGTGAATGTTTGATGAGTAGGGTGACCCATTTTGTGTAATCCTGCTTGGATTAATAAACGTCCCCCATCCCAATGGTGGCAATCTGCACTTGGATTAATCTTATTAGAGCAGGGATAACACCAAAACATGCTGAGCAAACAGAAAAGATAAGAGTCAAATTATGACCTTCAGTTATATTCTTCAAAGACCCATGGGAATAGACAATGACAATGATGCACGTTGCACAATTGTTGGTTACTGCTCTTTCTTTCTTTCTTTATATATATATATATATATATATATATACATACACATACACATACTGTACATACATATAAACAATACTACTACAATACAATACTTAAACACATTTAACACATTTCTGAATGCATATGGCCACCTATCCACTTAAACAGTATTAATAAAAAACAATCAATTTATCATGAATTAAAATTGTTCAATTGAAAGTTTTGATATTTTACAGATATACTGTATAAAAATAATTATACAACTTTCTGGAATATTCTGTTTGGTCAATGGTGGCATTCTGTGGTTATGCAAAATGATCACTAAACTGTATATATGACTTATCCCAGGCAACCTTATATGTCTTTTATAGGAATCGATGGTCCACTGTTCTCAAATAAAATAATTTAAACTCAATTCAATATACTATTCATTAAGTACCCATATAATAAGTGGCATGGTGTAGTCAAAACCTCTTCATGACCCATAATACCTTACAGTGTTGTGATCTTTTGACACATTGTTACAGAATTTTATAACAGAACAACTCCTTATTTCCTTATTGCTAATTAAATATTCCAAGGTTGTACTCACCGGTTTGTTGATTGACAGGCTGTTGACTGGGTGCAGCTGCACCGTTTCTTATGTATGTCTCTCCTGTGGAGGAGTGGATGTAAACACTCGGCTTTCTTTGCGAGCGGTGCAGGGGTTACAGGTCTTTTATACTCTCTGGCCCTCTCAGAAGATTAGGAGAGGGACGCCTCCCTCCCCTGATCCCCTCGACTGCAGATGAACACAATATGGATGCATGCGTTTAATGTGTATTTGTGTAACACCATGTGCTTTTAACAACTTATGTATTAACTTTATATTCTATAGATTTTTAATACAATAAAACAACATACAGGCCTATCCATAATAAATTGCATAGACAGTGGCCTCAAACTGTATTTGGACACATCAAATATTATTGCACTTGATGAGGCCACTTTTTATAGGCCTGGTTTAGTTAAAAATCTAATCTGACTTTTAGATGAACCAAAACCAAAATGTAAGGTCCTCTGAGGTGTTTAGCTGGTTTAACAGAAACAAATTTTGTAA